AATTACAAATAAGGAATATTTTCCTGCTTCTGAAATAAATACATTTTAATGTTTTAATTGCTTATACACAAGCAGTCCTTTATTGGGGCTCAGCATGCTAGTTCCTTCTCTGTTACGTTTCAAAGGGGTTGTGTCTGCGTGTGGACAGGCCAACAGACTACAAACAATTGTCTTTGTAGTGTTTCCTGAGGTTTGAAATCTCTCCAAAATAAAATTATTCTAATAGATTTCTCTGAAGATATTGGAATCTTTTAAGAAAAGACACAGGCCAGAAAGATTTTACCAAGATTACAGCTGGAAAATGAATCTGTTGTGTTTTGTACCACTTGACAATGAGAGCTTGGAGCTTACCTTCCTTGTGGCCTGGGAAGGATCTCTGTCTAAAAATTCCCAGTTTCTAGAGGACAGATTCTCTCTGCATTATGGTTTCTTAGTGGAATTCAGAGAGAGGTAGGAAATTTCTTTGCTGGTAGGCGGGTCAGTGAGAGGATGCTTCACTGTTGTGATGAGTAGCCTTGCTGCTTGCTGTGCCTGGAGATGGGAATGGTTTTCTGTCACTTGCTTGAATGGTTTCTGCTGCTTTGCAGGTGGATCGTATGACACAGCACATGGAGGCCAGTGAACGTTCCATGCACAACAGGATCCAGAGGCTGGAGGCCATCAGGATATCTCTGGAGGAGGTGAGAGAAAGTGCTCTAGGTGCGTTTGAACACTCATATAGCTGTGCACAGAGAAGGCTTCCAGGAAAGCGTTATGGAGTCTCCCACTGCAGACCTTTGTAAAGGCTGTTATGTGCTTTAAGAAGGAACAGAAAACAGCAATATACCAGCTAAAATTATTTTAATTCTTTGGAATAAGGAAGAAGATTCCAAGGAGAAGCTTGTAAATTCAGATTGGACAAAAATAAGGATTCCATTGAACATGGTTAGAGTCTTACTAAGATTTGACTTCACGGGTTTCTCATGTTGTCACAAGTAGTGTAGCATGTTTATCCATATCTATTTCCCCAGCTACATCCAGCACTGCTCTTTCGTATTCCCTTGTTTTGGAAAGCTTTAACCAATACTTGTCCTCATATAACTGAAATTCACATTGGATTATTATTGAAGATAGCAGTCTTGAAGTGAGGAAAGGTTTGTCATCTTTGTTTGCTTTTGCTGCCCCTGAGTGAGAAGGAGAGCTGTGACATATTGGAGCCTGTGACTGGAAGCTGCTACTGTTTCCTGGTCAGTGTTGCAGCAATGCAGCTTCTCTGTCTGGAATAATTTTCCATGTTTCTGTGGCAGGAGCTGAGCCAGGTCAAAGCAGCTGCACTAACTGAGCGAGGACAGGCAGAGGAGGAGTTAGTAAAAGTCCGGAGTCAAGCACGCTTGGAGGAGGTAAGGACAAGACCTGCCTGTGGGCCTGCCCCTGTGGGAAGGAAGTGGTTTGGCTACCTAGTCTGTGTTTTAGTCTTGGGGAGCTGCTAAGTAACTCCTGTCTGGGTTTCATTGACCCAGAAATGGTGTGATTTCTGACAAAGGAGCCCTGAAAAGTCTAATTTGAATTGTCTTCAGTAGTAACAGAACTGATGAGGGTATGGCCATGGCAGATTTAGTTTAAGTTGCCAACATCTGAAGCCAACAGCCAGATGCTGATCCTTCTTTTCAATGGCAACTTTCATGGAGTGCTCCTGTTTCTCTGAACTCTGAGAAATTTCTTCAGGTGGCTACTGCTGCTAGATAAATAAAATCACAGTTGTATTGAATCTGTGAAAATGGCAATTAAGTTAATATCCTGTGAAAGAGAACAAGGGATGAGGAAAATACGCAAAAATTATTAGAATATTTACTTATTTGTAACATCACAAAAGAAAATGCTTCACTGAGTTACAGACATAGAAATCTGATGTGTGGGACCCAGCAGTTGCTTAGCTGCATGCAGTGGTGCTGCAGAGCCATTTGAGGTATGGAGGAAGTGAAGGTAGAGCATTGGTTGCGAACACTGGCAGTGACATCAGTGCATCTGCCAAGGACCTGTGTTTCTCAGCTGAGTGTTTCAGTCTCTGTCAAGGTCCCCCCTGGCAAGAGGAAGCAGCTTGAAGTCACTCCTGAGTGCAAGGAGCTGGGCTGTGTCCTCTGCTTGTCAGTGCCAGTTGATTCAATAAAGGGTTCACTGTATTAGGAACAAAGAGGGGATAATCTCTTCACAGGAATGAAGTGGGACTTGAATTTTCATTTTCCTTTGTGCCTTACAGCAGCAACGAGTAGAACACCTGGAAGAGAAGCTGCGTCTGATGACTGAGTCAAGGGATGAAGCTCAGAACTGCTGCCTTAAACAAAAAGAAATGGTTGCTGAGGCCCAAGCCAAAGCCAAACAGCTGACCCTATATGCTGATGGACTCAGGAGGAGGCTGGATGAACTTCAGCAGGTAGTTAGGACTGGAGTAGAGATAGTTACCACAGGGCCAGAACAAGTTGCTGAAGTTTTTTGGTTGTTCATGGATTTGTCTTTGTGTGTCAGGACCTGGACAGTAAAGAGGAGGAGAAAGTGACAGAGCTAAATAAGGTGAAAGTGGAATTACAGGAGCAGATTGGGCACCTGGAGGCTGAACGTGCAGCCCAGGATGGGCTGAGAGAGAAGATTGCAGCTCTGGAAAGACAGCTGAGAGGTGATGGGTCCTTTCATGCTTCTGAAATGGTATTGCTGAGTTACCCTGCACTGGGCCTGGAACTGAGCTGTGCTTGCAGGTAGCGACAGCAAGTGTTTCTTGCCTGTGTGTACACCTATGAGTTGTACTCTTCATCCATGTGTATTTAGTGTCTTCATTTTATAGAGACCAAGACACAGATGACCACCGAAAGCTGTACAGCAAGCAAAGTGTTTGGATTTCCAGTCCCATGAAGTGTGCATGCTGTCTGTGCAAAACCTCTCATGTTGTCTCATGCAGCTCCTTTTGTGTGCCTATTGACCATACCACTTCCATTGCCTTTGGCCTGTTCTTATTTATTCTAGTGATACCTTGATTTTCTTTACTAATGCTGCTTTTTCACAGCCCTATCCAGTAATCACCGTGAAGCACTGCTGGACAAGGAGGGTGAGATCTCACTGCTGCTGGAGAAGCTGAGAATGAAGGAGGCTGAGATCTCCAGGGTGAGGGAAGAGGAAACCCAGCGAGCAAGTTTCTTGCAGAGTGCCATCATGTCATATGTGCAGGGATCTTGCTTGGGAACCCACAGTTCCAGGATGTGAGAGTGTGGCTTAAAGGATCCAAATACCTGCTGTCAGGGAAAGGGTGAGCTACTCAGATACAACTCCTTCTTCTTAAATGGGACAGTTTTGTCAGAGTGTGGTGACGCTAGGGCTCACAAAGAGAGATACTCTTGCTGTTCAGAAGTCTTCCTCCTGACAGCGTAAGGGAGAGGAGGAAACAACCATCCAGGCTTGTGGCTCTGAGTCCTTGATGGTCCCTTGGAGTCCCCTCCCCTGCACTGCCACAGCCTGTTTCTTCAGGGGGTTATTGGTTACTGGGGGGAGCTTGTATGTTCCCAGGCAGGGTCCTGCTGCAGCATTTGTTTGGTTACCAGGACTGTTCACAGAGAAAAGTGAGAAAAAGTGACAGGAGTGTTTACATTTTCCTGTGGGCTGGAGCAATTTGCCTTGCTAATGGGATCCTGAAACTGCTTGAAACACCAGATATTATCCACCTGTGCTTTTTCACCCAGTGTTTACAGACAGAAGCAGAGTCTGACGGAGCCCTCTCTGGCTTGGTTACCCTCCCTGCTATGGCTCTGGCTGTATTGGTGGGCAGTAGATACACATTCAGCATACATAGAAGCAGCTGTGCCAAGAGGCTTCGGGTAAAGTGCTGTCCATGTCCTTGTGGGACAGCTGGGCTTTGGCAGTGGTTCTACGTGTACAACAATGAGTGGCAAGGTAAGGGTGAGTGGGTGATTGGCTGTCAACATCTGTGCTTCTTCACTGTGAACTGCAGCCCTTAGGTGAAGATGTTGTGGCCAGTACTGCTACAGGATTTAGTTTCACTATGGCAAATGGCAAAACTGTTCTCCTGGCTTCTCACATTCCTAGAACTGAGTACTGTGGCCTTAACCTGGAGAGGAGCGATGCTTCTGGTGTGACACTGGGAAGTTGCTTCTCAGAGCACAGAGGGGAGAAGGAAGTTCCTCTCTTGACAGCACAAATCCTTGCATGACCTGGAGAAAGGGAAAGGCTACAAGAGTCTGAATTGGAGGGAGCAGGAGCTGTTGTCAGGCCAGCTGTATTGAGCCTTGAGGGAGTTCTTATGCGAGTCTGGGGTGGGAATGTATCTTAGAGTACATATTTTAAGAGACACCTGGAAAATGAAAGTTTCTGTGTGGACCGGTTGCTTTGTGGTCATGATTTTTTATATTGGGTTTTGCTCTGCTTAATAAAGAACTTTTGCATTTTGTCATTGACACTGGACACTTTGGCTGATGTGGAGGGTGGGGCCTTCTGCTGTGTTACTCTCCTGAAGACCCTATCAGCCTGTTCTGGAGCTAAAAGGCTGTTACAGGTGGACAACATGGGGATAGTTTTGGTTCTGGACTAAGATAAAAGCAAAGAAGCTGGGAAGGTGTTCCCTAGTCATAAGGAAGAGAACCTGTGGCAATAGCTATTTTTTGGCTGCTGGGCAGCACTGCAGACCTGCAGGTAAGGGAAAAGCAAAGCCTGTTCTTTTCAGGCAGGGCCACTACTGTGGACACCTGGCAGGCTAACTTGGGGACCGGGGGGAAGCCAAAAGCCGTCTTGCAGAAGGATTTTTGCTACTCCATCTTTGTTCTTCAGCAGCTCTGGGCAGATGACAGCGAACTGTGCAGCTTTCAAAGCTTTGTCCTTGAGCCGGTGGGCCCCAATGCGGTAAACGGCCCCGAGCAGCACTCGCCGCTTCTCTGCCCCAGCGCCCGCGGCGGAGCCGCATCTGGCCCCTGGAGAGCGGCGGGAG